TAGACATCATGCGAAGTGCGTCCAGTGCTCCGTCGGCAGCAGCGCAGTCGCGGGGCTGACTGCTTGCGTGCAGAGAACATCAGACCACCATCATGCATCATAGGTCTATGCACCGTCGCAAGACTTACTAGTCCTCATCATAGTCTGTTTCCTGCTCCAGGTCCTCATCATCCTCCTCGCCATCATCATCAGCATCATCATCATCATCGTCGTCATCATCATCATCATCATCATCATCATTATCATCATCATCATCACCACCATCATCATCATCATCATCATCATCCCGCCCTCCCTGGTCCATGTATGCTCCCCCCTCATCCTCCAGAGCCGTGTGGCCCACTTGGAAGGTTGATTAGCCCAGCTCCTCATACGTATCGTTCACAATCCTCTTCACCACCATCCTCATCACCATCAACATCGTCGTCATCATCATCACCATCACCATCACATCACATCATCACACCTCGCGCACTCGCGACGGCGATGAGGATGGCACTGGAGGAGATTGCTACCGAAATTCACGCTCGATCGCTACCGAATTTCGTTTTGCCGTTACCGAAATTTGCCCCTCGGTCGCGACCGAATTTCGTCCGGTCGCGACCGATTTTTTTTCCGGTCGCGAAGGTCCCCTTCGTTACTGGAATTTGGCCCTCTGCGGGAACGCCTGGAATTCAGAAAAAACGAAAATCGCTACCGAAAATTTCCGGTCGCGGATGTTCTGGGCACAGGGCCCCGGGAGGCCCCAAAGGGGCCACAAGAGGCCCCAGGAGACCCCCCAGAGGCACCCAGGAGGCCCGAACGAGGCTTCACGAGGCTCCCAAACAGCCCCGAGGAACCTTACAACGGACGGTGCTGACGAGCCGATTTTCGGACCGCCGCCGCCGCCGGTCCAAGAAAACGGCCTCCTGGACGCCATGCGCGCCGTGGCCCTCTTGCGGTGGCACATCCCGCCCCGGGCCAGCGCAGAGACCCTCGGATCCCAGAGAGAATTCTCCGTCGTCGGCGGTGTCGCCGTCGTCGGCGTCGTCGTCGTCGACGCCGTCCCCGCCCCGGTCGCCCCTCGGGACCGCGCTCGCCCCTTCGACTTCTCGGCTCGCCTCCCGCCGATGTTCTTGTCGCCCTTCGACTTTCGGAGGCTCCTCCGGGGGTCCTGGGTCCAGTGCTCCGGCCTCTCCAGAGCGCTTCAAGTGGCCGAAATCGGTAATTGTTCAAAGGTTTTGGAGAGATTTAGCCTTTTCGGCTGTCCGACGTTCCAAGACGGCCAAACAGGCCCCCAAGAGCGCCCAAAGACGGCCCAAGAGGGCCCCCAGACGACCCCAGAGGCGCCCAAGACAGTCCAAGAGAGCCCCAAGACGGCCCCTAGATGCGCCCAAGAGGGGACCACGAATCCAAAATTCGACCCTCCCGCTTGAAGAGTGCCCCAGGAGGCCCCAAGGAGCCCCCAAGAGGCCCCAGGAGGCCCCCGAGAGGCACCCAGGAGGCCCAAACGAGGCTTCAAAAGGCCACAAAACAGCCCCGAGGAGGCCCCACTACGGCCCCAAAACGGTCACCGAGAAGATGCGAAACTGCGTTCACGACGTTCCCGACAGGCCAACCACGAGATCCAAACCAACACCCATGAGGCCTCTGACCCACCACCTAGGGCACCCGCCGCCCGTTCGCCGTCCGCGTAGCACGCACCACTTTGTGCTCAACAGCTTCAGTCTCCAAGACAACACCCTGTAGTCAACAGCCCCCGTCTTCAAGGCAACACCCTGTGCTCAACAAGCTCCCGCTGCAAGAGAGCACCCATAAGGAATTCATTCAAATCCCGACCCGCCCGCCCGCCCGCCACCCGCCCGCCCGCCGCCCGCCTGGCCGCTCGCCCGCCTTCCGCGTAGCACGCGCCACCCTGCACTCAACAGCCTCCGCCTCCAAGACAACACCTAGCATTCAACAGCCCCCAGCGCTCCCGGGACTGCCCAGGTCCGCTCCCAAACGCGCCACGACACGCCAAGAGGGCCCTAAAGCTTGCCAAGACAGCCTCAAGAGGCCCTGGACACGCCGAAGATGGCCTCAGGACGGCCGACGACGCCGCCAATACTCCCCAAGAGGGCCTCTAGAGGCCCCTCCACAGGGCCCCGCATTTTTGCGCTATCGCATGTTCCGCCTCCCCACGGTCCCGGACGGCGTCAGAGGCCGTTCAGATCGCTCCAAGACGGCCGAAGAGGCTCCCAAGAAAGACCAGAGACGGCCCAGGAGGCTCCCCAGATTATTCAACAGGGCTTCGAGAGCGCCCCAAGAGAGCCCCAAGAGCGACCCAAGAGGGCCCGAAGAGCGCGACATTTCAAGGTCTCCAGCCTGAGAGGCTCCTAGGACGCCCCCAGAGGCCATCAAGAGGCTCCCAAGAAGCCCCGTGAGGCTCCCAAGAGGCCCCCCGGAAGCCCCAATGAGTTCCCAAGGGGCCCCAGGGAGGCCCCCTGCGGGCCCCCAAGAGACTTCGGTAAATCGTATTTCCCAGAGCTTTCCGGGAACATGATTCCTTGGGCTTCCGTCCACCGCCCCAACCATGTTTCCAATAGGCTTGCCGACAAGGCCAAAAAGGGCCCCTCGGTAAGCCCCCAGAAGCCCCCTTGTTAGGAGAGCCGAACAAATCATGTTCCCGGAAAGCTTCCCGGGAACATGATTCTCGGGTTGCCGCCTTTTCCCCAAACCATGTTCCCTAAACGCCCGCCAGGATAAAGACACGAGAGCCCCAAGCAGCGCTACCTGCCGTCATGCTCGGAAACGCGTCAGGTTCCGAAGCCTCCGGAGGCGCCCAACGACACCCCAACAAGTCATGTTCTCAGGAAGTCTTCCGGTCAGTGCTGCCGACGTTGAAGGAGGACGGTCCAGGACACCCAGAAATCTCCCAAACAGGCTTCCAAGAGGGCGCCGAGACAGCCCAGGGCCGCCCCCACACGGCCCAAGAAAGCCCCAACACAAACGAAAAGGCCCCCAGGAGGCCCCCAGGAGGCCCCGAAACGAGGACATATCGTTCGAACGCGCCCAAGATGGCCCCTAGACGGCCCACAAGGCTTGCAACACGGCCCAAAGGGACGCCAAAATCATTGATTGTCCTTCGATTTTTGATTGATTTCAGACACCCCACGAGGGCGCCGAGACGGCCCACGAGGGCGCCGAGACGGCCCAGGGACGCCCTGCCGCGGGCACGAGGTGGGGCCCGGGATGGGGCCCTCGCGCCGGGAGGCACGGGGGCCTTGCCGTGGCGCTGGGGGCCTTGTAAAGTCACCAGAAGACGGCCCTGGATTGCCAGAAATTGCGTTTCCAGACAACGAACACGACCAATGACCGCCCGAGATCACCCCAGAATTGTTCCCTGACTGTCCAAGAGGCTTCCAAGACGCCCCAAGAGGTCTCCAAGATGGCTCCCAAGGAGCCCCAGGAGGCACAACTAATTTGTTTTCCTTTGGTTTTTGATCGATTTTCGAGTTCTCGTCTTTTGAGTTTCCTGACGCCCCACGACGGCCCAAGAGGCTTCAATTTCCGCTCCAAGGCATCCCCAGAGGCCTCGGAGACGGTCTCAAGACAGCCCACGGGGGTCCCAAGACGGCGCCAGAGGCGTCCAAGGCGGAGCGAGAGGGCCCCAGCACGGCCCCAAGATGGAGGGTTGACACGACCCGAAAATCCGAGTCTTCCATCCCGAGAGGCTCTCAGGAGGCCCCGAGAAGCCCTAACAGGCTCCAAGAGGCCCCAAGAAGCCCCCCCAGGGGGCCGAAGCGTATCCAAGAGGCCTCCCACGAAGGCCCCAAGAGGCACAAATCAGGTGTTTGATTGATGTTCGAGTTTTCAGCCTTTTGGCGTCCTGACGCTCCAAGACGGCCCAAAAGGCCTCCAAGACCAATCCAAGATAGCCCACGAGGCCTCCAACAGGGCCCAAGACAGCCCGAGAGGGCACCAATACGGCCCCAAGGGGGGCCCAAGAGGGGTAAGTCGAACCGAAAATCCGAGCCTTCCACCCCGAGAGGCTCTCAGGAAGCCCCAGAGGCCCCCAAATGGGACCCAAGAGGCCCTCTAGAAGCTCCCCAGAAGGCCGAAGAGGTTCCAAGAAGCAATGTTTTCCCATCGGCTTTTGATGGATTTTAAAGTTCCCAGCCTTTTGGCTTCCCGACGCTCCAAGGCGGCCCAAGAGGCCCCCAAGACCGCAGAGGCATCCAAGAGGGCCCCAAGACGGCCCACGAGGGCCCCAAGACGGTGCCCGAGGCGCCCAAGACGGCCCGAGAGCGCCCTACGAGGGCCCCAAGAGAGCCCCAAGAAGGTGAACGCGAACCCAACAGCAGAGTCTTTCGCCCTAAGAGGCCCACAGGAGGCCCCAAGAGTCCCCAAGTGGTTCGACGAGGCCCACCAAAGCCCCCCACCAGGCCACAAAAGGCTCACAGGAAACGTACACGGGGCCAATCAACATTGCTTCAAGGAGGCCCTGGGAGGCTTCCGGATTGCCCCAATGTGGCCTCAAGCCGGGCCTCTACGCAGCCAAGACGGCCAATTGTCTGCTTCAGGCTGCAGAACATCATTTTCCGACTGCCCGGAGAACCCTGATGATGCCCCCAAGGGACCCCAAGAAGCCCCAAGATGCCCCCCGAGAAGCACCCAAGATGTGCCTGCAACAACCAATTGAGGAAGCATGGAGGGCCCCCCAGAAGCCCTTCAGATGCCCCCACGAAGACCCAGGAGGTTTCCAAGAGGCCCTCAGGCGGCACGACTATGTCACACGCCTGTGCTTGATAGCGCTGTCCAAGATCCTCACGCGCGCCCCTGGCCTGGGCTAGAACCTGAGCGCGCGCGAAGCGCGCGCGATGGTCCTAGTATATATATATATATATATGTATAGAGGAATGCATATATACATCGAGCTTATGACGTATACGGGAAACTGACTGATATTCGAGAGAGGGAGGGCGGGATTGAGGATGAGAAGGGAAGCAGATGATCCTCCAACGCAGCCTGGCTTTCTTGAGGACACCTGGAACATCACCCGCTTCGACGCCATACGGCAGACGTTCACGCCTCGCTGAAGTGGACTTCGGTGGACAGCCCCCTGCCTCCCTACCTGCCTGCTCCCTGTCTCCCACTCCGCCCTCTCCCTCCCCTCCCTCCCTCCTGCCCCTGCCTCCTCCCTCCTCTTCTCTAGCTCCCCTCCCTCGCGCCCGTCCCCTCCTGCGTCCTCCGCTGCCTCCTGTCATCATTTACGTCCTTCGCCTCGCGCAGTCTCTGCCCCGCCTCGCCCTCCCTTCCATGCCATCTCCTCATCTGTCGGCATCCCGTTTTTTTGCGGCCTTTCTCGGCAGTCTGCGACGTCGACCCAGAAGATTTCGCCATGTAGGAGCGGGTGCGCCTTGATGGAAACGGGTCCTAGGTCTGGGGGCCTTCCCTAGGGCCTGCTTCTGTCGTGCTAGAAGATCTCGTCTGCCTCGAGACCGTCGTGATGCCACTGCGAGGCCGCGGGTTGCATCTAACAGCAAACGACAACGACGCGAGGCTGCGCTCGCACGCGCGGCCCCAGGAGGCGGCCCGGCGACTCCTGTCGCAGGGGCCTTCGTGGCCACAACCTCCGCCCCGTAGCAGCGGTGCCAGCCAGCAAGCCTTGCCGACGCGCTCGCGGCAGCGTGCGCGGGGGAAGGGGGGGGCGGAGTCAGACGAGGACAATCTAACCGCGATAGGTCTCCAGACCCCTCCCAAGAGTTGGAAGCTACTTCTCGTTCCGGCGACCTTTTTGACGGACTAGGGTTCCACCAATAGTGGAAGACAATTATTTTTTTTCCTCCTCGTCCTCGTCCTCCTCGTCCGCCTCCTCTTCTCCTCCTCCTCTTCCTTCTCCTCCTCCTCCTGAGGAGGATGGAGGATGGTGGTGAGGGGGAGGAGGAGGAAGATGAGGAGGAGGAGGAGGAGGACGAGGAGGAGGAGGAGGAGAGAGGAAGGAGGGAGGAGGAGGGAGGAGGAGGAGGAGGAGGAGGAGGAGGGAGGAGGAGGAGGAGGAGGAGGAGGAGGAGGAGGAGGGGAGGGGGGAGGAGGCGGAGGAGGAGGAGGAGGAGGAGGAGGAGGGGAATCAGGATCGGGCTTATTCTACGTCTTTTTGCATCATCCGGGCCGTTAGCAACCCAGGGTTGTGCCGAGCCATCGGGGAATGTACCGATTGCCCCCGTCCCCGGCACCTATGCCCGGGAGCCTGGGCAGCGGCGCGGAACCTCCAGACCTCTTTCTTTCATCGGGCCCCCCTCTTTTTTCAGCGCCTTTCTCTCGGTGGCGAGCGATGGCGGAAGTGAGAAGGAGAAGGCCTTCTCAGAAGGCGGCGGGACGCCTCAGAAGCCCTCGCGCCTTCTGATCAGTTTCCCTGTCTTGGGGGAGGCCTAGAGAACCTCTCAGAACGCCAGGGGACCTTCGAGCCTTCTGAGAAGGCCTTCTCCTTCTCACCTCCCCCCTCGCTCGCCGCCCACTCTCTCGGGGCGTGCATCAGGGCGCCTGGATCAGCGGCTGGTCCCGCGTCCCTGCAGAATCGGCGCGCGCCGTCGCCAAATCGGGTCCGGTCTCACAAGCTACTCCTGCCATGCATTGCGCAGGGTATGGGTGCGTCGCCAGGGTAATTTTCAATGGCGCATGTGTAGGTCGGTGTCCATGGCGGCTCATGTGCGGCGATAAGACATAACATATGATAATATAGCAAGCGCAAGGGGAACAAGTTCGGGGCGGGAGCGCAAGGAGGAGGAGTGAAACGAGTCCTTAGGACATCGATAGGCTGCCTTCGGAAATCCAATGGATTTCTTCGGGGCTCTAAAGGATGCCTGAAATCATCCGCAATCTTCCGTCCAGAACCCATAACATTCCATAAGAAATCCATGGGGTTCCAAAGGCAATCCATAGGACTCCTTCAGACATGCATACGAATCCTTAGGACATGTACCGGAATCCTTGGGACATCCATGTGAATCCTTAGGACATGCATCGGATTCCTTCGGCAGTCCGGCGCCCGGAGCAGTGTATCCGTAGTCCATGCCAGCGAGCGCCCAGCTCACCCCTCGTGCTCCCCCTCCCCCTCCCCCTCCGCCCCCTCCCCCTCCTCCTCCGCCCCCCTCCTCCCTCCTCCCCTCCTCCCCTCCTCCTCCTCCTCCTCCTCCTCTCTCCTCCCCCCCCTCCTCTCCTCCTCCTCCTTCTCCTCCTCCTCCTCTCCTCCTCCTCCTCCTCCTCCTCCTCCTCCTCCTCCTCCTCCTCCCAGGGCACTCCTCCCTTCCTTGGCGGAGGGGGAGGGGAAGGGCGGGCAGCCATGGCGGCGCGCGCGCAGTGCGGGAAGGAAGGGGGGCGGCCAGGGGGCAGGCGGCCTCTTTCTCTCCTCGGAGGAGGGGCCCCCTCGGAGGGCTCTCCCGAGGTTGGACAAAAGCAGAGCGACGGCCTTTCTCCGCTGAAGGTGGAGGAGGAGGAGGAGGAGAAGGAGGAGGAGGAGGAGGAGGAGGGGGCAGAGGAGGAGGAGGAGGAGGAGGAGGAGGAGGAGGAGGAGGAGGAGGAGGAGGAGGAGGAGGAGGAGGGGGGGGAGGAGGAGGAGGAGGAGGAGGAGGCAAAAAAGTCGTGCTTCGGCCGGGGCGCCTCGCCGAGTGGACGGCCAGGTACAGTCAACGCGCCCAGGAAGGACGCGCGCCTTCATCTAGGATACTCCAGATTTCGTAATAAGAGGGAGGGGGTCTGGACCCTCCCAGACGAGAAGTTTTAGACCCCCCCCGTGGGAGAACCCTCCAAAACACCGTCCCCAGACCCCCCAGGCCCTCCAAGATAGCCTGGAAGAGACCCCCCCCGAAATGAGACCCCCCTCCCTTTATTACGAAATCTGGAGTACCCTTTGCGTCCTTGCCTCTGTGGCCCGTCCTTTGCCGTTTTCATTGGTCGCCGCCGCCCAACGAAGTCCCAGCTTCAGCCTCCAAGGGTCTTGCGTCCTTACCACGCGTCCTGAATATAGGTTTTGACTGTAGTACCGACTTGCTGTCTTCGAGGCCACGGCCCCCGCGCTGTGCCCCGTTGGGCACGGGCGGGAAGGCGCGCAACTGCGGCGCTCGCTTCGCTCCGCTCCCCTGGCTTCTGAGAGACGTTCTTCTAGGAGTCATCCAGGCGCCTCGGAGAAGGCCCCTGCCTTCCGAAGAGGCCCCCCCCCTCCTCCTCAGGAGTCCGCCCCCGTCGTGCCTCCGGCTGTCGGGTCATACCTCGAGTCCCCGGCGGCCGTTCGGGACGATCCGGCCACCCGGAAACGCTTGCAGCGAGGCGCAGCTGCTGGAGAGCACCCTCCGAGAATATGGAGAAACTCCAGGGCCCCACGCAAACGTGCGAACCTCGGTGCCAAAGCCTTGTTCCCCGCGCGCCATCCCCTTCTGCGCGCCGCCAGAGAACCTCTTTGGCATCGCTCGGACGAGTGCTTTTTTGTTCTCGGTTAGGACCATCGAGGAGCATCTTGGATCATTGAGCCGAAAAAATTCAAGTACGAAATCGACAAAATGCACGGGGAAGGGACTTCCGAGCGACGGCAAAAGCTTTTGCCGGCGGCACCACCACGAAGTGTCGGGGGTCCGCGCGGATCTCTCTGGGATCGGCGCCTCCCGCGGCCTCCTCCTTCTCCTCCTCCTCCTCCTCCTCCTCCCTCCTCGTCCTCCTCCTCCCTCCTCCTCCCTCCTCCTCCTCCTCCTCCTCCTCGTCCACCTCCTTCTCCTCCTCCTCCTCCTCCTCCGCCTCCTTCATTGGAGCGCGGAGCGTGCCGGGGGCGGCCGCGGGAGGCGCCGCCAGTGAGGCCCAGCGCCGGCCCAAGAAATAATCCTCGCGGACCTGCGAAGGCTCATGTGTCTGCCGTGTTTTCCTTCTCTCTCTCTCTCTCCGATCTGGGCCCTGGGGGGCCAAGTGTACAGTCGGGGCCCTGAAGAAGGAACCCTTTTCGTTGGGGAGGGGCTCCGTGTTCCTCAATTGTTTCGCAGCTTGCCTTGGATTTTCCCTTAGGTTTTCGATACGAAATCGAAGTTCAACTCATGGAAAAAAAAGGGGCCTCGTTCCTTATTTAGGGTTCCCTAGGTCAACGCCTCGACTGTATCCACAAGCAGCTCCTGTCGAGGTCCGCGAATGGGTTATCCCAGTCGGCGGTTATGGGGGCCCCCCCGCCTCGCGGAAGTCGGTCCGATGGCGATCGGTTCGGAAAGACTGGGCATGAACACCGACAGCATTTCTTGTTCATTTTGGGCTGGACTCGCTGCCGTCGTCGCCGCGGACGTTGTCTGGTTCATACAGAAGGCCGCCTGCCCAGCTGCGGCCGCTGTCGGTGTTGGACAACGTGTAGTGTCGGGGGAGCGTAACACCCAGGTTTGCCAGGACTCGGATTCGCCATCGTTTTTTGACGACCGCGCATCGGATTTTGACGAGGAGGAGTTTCGTGGGATGTCTGCAGCGGGAGGCCGCGTCAAAATGCAGACTCGGCCTCGTCATTTTTTGAACGACCTCGTCGGGGATTTCCGAGTCCCCTGTACCCAGGTCCTACGTCCCCCTGATAGTGTTGGGCGCCGCGCCAATGTTGTCTGTGCGCATGTCGTGCGTCCAAAGCAGAGACCACCCCGGCATCCTCATCGGTCCCAGCCTGCTCCGCCAGGCTGTCGGCCGCCAGTGACCGCCGCCCGCGCGGGGCGGGAGTGGGCTCCCCCGTGGCGCGCGCGGGCGCGCGAGAGCGCCGTGCGCAGAAGCAGCGGGCGCCTCTCCTCTTTCGCCGGCGCGGCCGGAAGGTAGACGTATCCACCGCTTATCTTGGCCTTTCAGATGGGGTGCGCGCAGGCGGGGTCGAAGGATCGCTCCGCATCTGCGATGCAACGGCGACGCAGCTCGATGTGGAGCCCGATTTGTTCCAAGCATGCGGTGCTAGTGCATCGCCGGCGTCGCCGATGCCTCGCCGATTGCGATCCTCCGGCCCCATATCCTCGGAGCCCTCAAGTTGGCCTCTAGCTTGGGGAGCGGGCAGTTGTTTTGCCATTGGGAAATATGCAGCACCCCGCAATTGTGGGTGAGAGTGAGGGGACGGGCGCGGGGTTTGTCGCGGGTGAGTCGCGCGTGGGTCGCGGGGTCCGTCGGGAGTAGCTGGTGGTTCGTGGGAGGGGGGCGACGACAACAGCGGCAATCATTTCAGAATTGTTCGTTCTCGTCTGCTCGTATGCCACTGCATGTACAGCCCAAACCCTCGATACTCGCCCTCTTCGTCTTCGGTCGTACCCCTCTTGGGGGTATGCCTTCCTCAACCGTCACGTGTAGGTGGCGCAGCCTCCAAAACGAGGAGAGGAGGGAGGCGGGGGATCAAAGAGAGCCAGGAGGAAGGGCGTGCTGGAAGGGAGCTATGGGCGTCGTCATACCTGCCGCCACCGGCACCGACTACGACTGCACCTCCCGATGTTCTGTGTGCCGACTCCTCAGACGAGCTGGTTGCGTACACGCCGGTCGTTGAAAGTAGGTATTTTTGGATTCCCAGATCCCAATCTGCTTCCAGCGCCTTTCTACTTCAAGAGTCGGCACGCTTTTGCTGTGTTCTGTTAATTTTCTCTGGGAGGACCTGGACCCAATCTACTATATCCGCCTTCCTGCTTCATGTTCCTGCCTACTTTTTTCCGACCGACGCGTACTGCGTGGGCGGCAGTCCTCGTGTGCAGGTGGCAGATATGAGTTGTCGGGAGCGCGAGCGGGCCGGGCGTCTGGCTCGCCGAGGGGCAGGAGTCCTGCATGCGTCTGTGGCGGCAGCACGATGCCCAGGTGTCGGGGGCGGAAAAGAGGGGGGTGAGGACTAGGGTGCCTCCTCCTCCTCCTCCTCCTCCTCCTCATCCTCCATCCTCCATCCTCCATCCTCCTCCTCCTCCTCCTCCTCCTCCTCCTCCTCCTCCTCCTCCTCCTCCAGAGCAAACAGCCTTGAGATCGGGGGCGGAAAAGAGGGGGGTGATGACTAGGGGGGGGTGGATATCATGGCGTGGGCCATGATATCTCCCCAGATTCCATGGCGCCTCTTCTCATTTCGTCACGTCCCCGGCCCGCCCGCTGCGCCGCGCACGTGCCGCCGGTCATGATTTGCACCCCCCCCTCTTGGACACCCCCCTCTTGGCCGCTCCCGAAAGTGAAGTGAGCGACGCCAGACAGAACGGGTCGCCTGCGCCGACACTGGCGCGCAAGCTGCCCGCGCGAGGTCGCGCGAGAGCGCCTTCGTGGCCCATGCAGCGTGCCGCGGGGGTAGTCCGCGCAAGCTGCGGCGTAAGCTCCCTGCGCCATCTCGCGTGAGGCCCAGTTTGGATCGTCACTCAAGTGAATCGTGAGGAAGTCCAAAGCGCCAGCGCGATTCGTGAGTACCGAGGGCGCAGCGTCTGAGTCGCTTGCAAGGACGTCTCAGGCGGGAGCGCGATTCTTGGGTGAATCGTAAGAGAATGCTCGAGCGAGAGCGCGAATCTTCAATACGTTGTGAGGAAGTGTCTGGCGGGAACCATTGTTGTAGTATTTCGGGGCCCAACAATCCAGTCTGGAGGCGAGCTCCTGGAGGCGCACTTCAATTGAAAAACACAATATGCTCCAAAGGGGATGATCAACAGTCACTGTTCATGACAATTGGAGTCCAACAAGCAGCGAACAAGCATAATGAGGGTTACAGAGTCCCATTCCACCCACGCGCCCAGGGATGGTGTAAGACCGCTCGACCCCCTCATTTTGACAACGGCAGGTCTTGCTGTTTTCGGCCCCTGAGGGCCATCACTGGGCCTTGGGACCGTCAACAAAAACAACTCAGGATGCGAAGCCCGTCCCAGGGAAGGGATCCAGATCATCTGTGCGACGCCAACAAAAGATCGTCTGCGCCGACATTGGCGCGCAAGCTGCCCGCGTAAGGTCGCGCGTAAGTGCCTTTGTATACAATGTGGCGTTCCGCGCCGGCGGCCCGCGTAAACCTCCGCGTGAGATCGCTGTGCCATCCCGCGTCAGACCTGTCTCCTTTGGTCGCTCATCTGGTGAGCGGGCGGATCTCCCATGGGAGTCGATAGGAAACGGCATACAAGCACAAACATGAAACTGGGCATGTCCCTCGACAGGAGGAGCATTCGAAAAATGGTCAAAACGTAGCCTGGGGACGATCGTTCTATTCTTTTGAAGAAAATTAGGGTAATTCGTTAACCATCGCTGTTTTTTCAATCTAACAGAAAACTTTCGGAGCTCCGCCAGGATGCTTCTCAGCACGAACGGAATGGGGGCACGGAAAGAATGGGTACAATGCCCAACAGCAGTTCCTGTTCATCTTGAACAGGACGCGCTGTCCGCGCCGCCGCGGCCTGTGTCCGTTCGAGACGGACGGCCGCCTGCCCAACGGCGGCCGCTGTTGGTCTGGGACCAAATCTGTTGTTGGGCATTGTGCCCATTCTCTCCGTACAGTCGGGGCCCTGCAGAAGGAACCCTTTTGGTTGGGGAGGGGCTCCGTGTTCCTCAGTTGCTCTACAGTGCTCCTTGGGTTTTCCTGAGCTTTTCATGGTACATCTGAGTTTTCTACGTGGGAGAAAAAAGGGGCGTCGCTCCCTATGTATCGTTCCTTAGGCCAACGCCCCGACGGTACCCCTCTCGGGCGTCCAAAAGCTTCTGGGGTCGGCCTCGGGACGGCGCGGCCCCTCCGGCGCGGCCCCTCCGGCGCGGCCTCTCCGGGGCGGCCTCTCCGGCGCGCCGCCCGGGGGGGGGGGGGGGAGGCGCCCGGGCGCGCCGGGGGGCCCGAGGAGGGAGGCCGCGCGCGGAGGGCCGATAGGGCCCCTCGGCGGGGGCGGCCGGCGGGGCCGAGGCACGTGATTTTTCGCGGGCTCCGGGTCCTCAGGGCCCCCTCCTCCTCCTCCTCCTCCTCCTCCTCCTCCTCCTCCTCCTCCTCCTCCTCCTGCTCCCCCACCCCCAGATGGGCTGGGTCCTGCAGGGTCCTCGAGCCCCCCCCCGCCCACACACAGATGGGACGGGGCGGGGGGAGGGGGGGAGGAGGAGGAGGAGGAGGAGGAGGAGGAGGAGGAGGAGGAGGGGAGGAGGAGGAGGAGGAGGAGGAGGAGGAGGAGGAGGAGGAGGGGGAGGAGGAGGAGGGCAATGACGACGACGACGAGGAGGAGGAGGATGAGATCGAGGTCGGTTCGGGGAGGGTGCCCCGATGTTTTTCGTGCTTGCTGGACGCTCTGGTGCACCCTGGGGAGGGTACCCTTGGATGCTCTCTGTGTGCTTCGGCGGGCCGAGGGTCTAATTTGTTCTCGAGGGGTGTGATCTTGTGGCCCAGGTCTGGCTGTGTGACGCGTTCCAGAAAGGGCAACGCCTTCGAGGATCGTGGGAGTTGCCATCTCTTCCTCGGCGGGAGGAGGAGGGCAGGAGGAGGAAAATGAGGAGGAGGAAGAGGAGGAGGAAGAGGGGCGCTGGGAAACTCATCGGCACAAACGAAATGGGTACGGAAAGAATGGGTACAGTGCCCAACAGCAGTTCCAGTTCATTTTGAACAGGACTCGCTGTTCGCGCCGCCGCGGCCTGTGTCCATTCGAGACACAAGGCCGCCTGCCCAACGGCGGCCGCTGTTGGTTTGGGACAACGTTTGTTGTTGGGCATTGTACCCATTTTTCCGTACCCATTCCGGGCGTCCAAGACTCAGTTTTGTGAGTTGTGTTATCCCCCCTGAGTGCCCAAGGTCGCTTTAGCCAGCTGCCTGCGGCAAGTCCTGCCGCCGCTCCAGGCCAGCAACTTGCGTTGCGTCAATTCGGGGGGCGCGCACGGGTGGCACCTCGTGTCCCGGGCCGAGCCCTGGGAGAGCCGTATAACAAGTGGCTCTCTTCCGCGTCGACCCGTGGCTCCTCTTCTCGTTCTCGTCGACTTCCCTTACGTCGGGCCTGTCCCTCTACAGGAGGAAGATTCAAGAAGAGTCAAAACATAGGTAGGGGACGATTATGTTAGTATTTTTGATTTGTTTTGAGCATTTTGTTTTCTGTTTTTTTTGTATGTTTCATTTTTCGTCCAAAGTCCACTTGTGGGGGGACGCGCCCGACCTAAGACTTTCCCCGTTTCTTCCGTCTTCTCTTGGGCTCCTGTGAGGCTCTGGGGCCCTTTGGGCAAATGTGGGCCGTCTTGCAGCCCCCCTGGGCCGTGCTCGGAGTCTCTTGGGCTGCGGGGGGCCATCTTGGCCGCATGGGGCGGTGTCTCTTGCGGCCGTCCTGGGGCCGGCTTTGGGCCGCGCTGGGCCGCTGCTGGGCTCTCTGAGGCCGTCTTGGACCCGGAGGCCCTCTTGGACCAGCAGGCCCTCTTGGGTTAGGTTGGGGTTCCCTTGGGGCCGTCTGTCTAGGGGGTCTCCTGGGCCATCTGGGGGCCATTGTGGATGATGACTTGGCACTGGGGGGGCTTTCTTGTACCATCTTGGGGCCAACTGGGAGGCCTCCCTGAAGCTGCAGGACGCCCGGAAAGGTGAAGACGCCCAAATATGTGGAACACCTAGCGGGCAATCCATCATTTTGGTTTCGTCGGATCTTGAGGGTCCTCATGTGACCCTCGTTTGCCATCTTGGGCGCCTCCTGGGCCGTCTTGAGGCCATCCTGAGCCGCCTTGTGGCCATTTCAGGCCGTCTTGAGACAAGACTGGGCAGCCTTGGGGCCATCTCGGGCCGTCTTGCAGGCACATCGGACAATCCTGGTGGCACTGGCTGCCTGCATCGGCCGTCTCGGAAGCTCGGGGGCAGGGACCCATTGTTTTGCAGGAGGGATGGTGGCTTCGGGAGCGCTGGCCCATCTGTTCGGTTACGATCGGCGTCACCCCAGCTGACTTGTATGTGTGCGTCGCCCCCCCAGGGGCGATGCGCGCACCGAGAAATCGTTTGGCGTACGCGTCGTGGCGGGCGCTTTCTGGCCACACCGCTCGGGAAACGGTATACCACAAGATGGGTATATAATTTGTTTGGGTCGGACGCGCGCCTTCAAGGTGGACACATAGTACTAGTACGTCTTTGTGCGTCCCATCGTAACCTCACGAGCGCGGATCCATTCGTTCCAAGGGGTCGTGGATGGATCGGTGCCTCGGGAGCGCGGACCAAAACCGTCTTTACACAGGGGGCCGTGGCCTCGGCAGGGGAGGCTCGTCGAGGGCACACCACTTGGCATCCTCGAGGAAGCGCAAAGATGGATCAACGCGCGTGGATCACCGAAGAGGGAAAAGCCACACAGGCAAACTTTTGGCGCTCCGCGCGGGTTTCTTGGATCTGCGCCTGGGCCCCCGGCGGCGCCTCTGGCGCCGCCCCCGGCGCGCTCCGCGCGCCAGGAAGGGGGGTCCAGCGCGAATCCAAGAAACGAAACCCGCGCGGAGCGCCACATTTTTTTTTTTTGTTATTTTTTATTTTTTATTTTTTATTTTTAAAAATAAGTATATATATATATATATATACGTATCCTATTTTTAGATTAGCGGCAGGCGTTCCCAATGCAGTATATATATACACATATACATCTTCTAGATTAGCGACAGGTCGCGTTTCCAATGCAACACCGGCGCGCTCCGTCGCCAAAGTCAGGCAGCCCTGGCGCCATGGGGGGGATGGCGCTGCCAGGCTCCTGGATTCCTCTCGCTTCGCGGGGTGCACGTCCAGAGGGAGTACGGTAGGTTCGCGTCGTGTCGACCAGCGGCGACCCCGCCGCCGACGTTCAACGTTGAACGCCGACGGCGGCCCAGAATCGGTCGATGTTGAACGATTGGACGTTGCGGAGACGGCCGATCGTTCAAGGTTGAACGATCCAGCGCGGTGTCAGGAACCAACGCCAGGGTCGACACGGCACGAACCTGCAGTATGTGCGTACGGGCCGTCGGGGGAGCCTTTTGGTGGCCTCTTGGGCCCTCTTGGTGGCATCATTGGGCTGCTTTGGGGCTTGTCAGTGGCCTCTTGGGCCGTCTTGGTGGCGTCTTGGGCGGTTGTCGGGCGCTCTTGGGCCGTCTGGCGCCCCCGGAGGCCTTCTCTGGAGCCTCTCTGGGCTGTCTCGGTGCCCACTCGTGGGCCGTTCTAGGGCTCTCTTCGGGGCTTCTTGGGCCGTCTTGGAGGCCTCCGAGGTGGTCTTGGGGTCTGAAGCCTTAGAAGGCCAGAACAGTAAGATCCCTCAAAAATCTGAGGACCGTCTGTGTTCATCGCTTCTACAGGCCCTCTGCGGGGTCCTCTAGGAGCCCTCTAAGGCAGTTTTCAGGGCTTCTTGGGCCGTCTTGGGGGCCTCTTGGGCCGTGCTTTGGCAATCTTGGGCTGTCTTGGAGCCATCTTGGGCCATCTTGCCAAGAAGCCCAAATCGTAAATTTTCTTTTGTTGGAGGGGAGGGCGAATCGTTGGATGTGGCGTGGCTCCAGTGGGGGGGGGGAGGAGGGGTTACGTTCTCCGATCCATTGATCTTGCGCTCAGACGCCACATCCACGGATCCCAAATCCATGCTAGCGTGTACCCGCTTCGACGTGCCAGGGGGCACCATGCCGCGTTAAGCGAGGGGTGGGGCGCCCTGGGGGGTATGGGTTGGGCTGTCCTTCGCGGGGGGCGGACTGGGCGGCACAGGGCGGGGGGGGGCTTCTTGAAGCATGGAACAGTGCGGAGTGGGCTAACCTTGCTATGTTCTCCGAGTCCCCTGCCTGCTGTGCCGCGCGTGTTCTCGGGAGCCTTGAGGCGGGAGTCAGTGCAAACGGGGCTCAGCCAGGGCCTCGGGTCTTGCGGGGCCCCGAGCAGAGCCGGAGGTGCACTGAGGTCGGCGCGCAGGACCTTGCAGGATCCGGCAGAGCTTGACTGACCGGGGTTTGGCACGGGATGGCGCCGACTGGCCACAACTCAGAGCGTGAATGACCTCCCCCGCTTTCGCTTCCAGGCAAAACCAAGCCATACCACGCGCCTCCTCGTCAAGCGGCCTGACCAGTACGGGCCGCAATTTGGCATCGCTTGGTGTCTCTTGGAAGCGAGGGTGGTCAAAAGCGAGGCAGGTTTGTTTTCCCCCGAACAACGCCGATCCTGGCCCAGCCCATCCTCGGCTGCGGACCAGCGCGGCCAGCCACGGGGCGTCGGTCCGGTGGCGTCCCTCGGTTGCCTCTCCCGCAGGCGTCGCGGTGGCCTCGGGAGAGTCTTTTGCGTCTGCTCGGACGGCCTCGGGTCTTCGGCCGCGAGTGTGCGCAGTGACCTCTTCCCCGCGCTGCCATCCCTTGGCGATCCCCTCCATCTTCTCGTTCTGCTGCTCCTTCTGCTTGTTCGGTATCTGCACCATCGTGCTCGTCATTGTCGCCGTGGCCCTCTTGTTCCTCCTCCGGCTCCTCCTGCACCTCGTTCTCCGGCACCTCTGTCTAGTCTGCGATCCTCCGGTTTGAGTGTCAGCGCGTCTCCCAGGGCTCGAGCTAAACAGGGTTTTGGCGATTTCGTTGACTGTTTTCGTTGTGAATTCGTTTCGCAGCAAAGGCGGAACGAAAACATAACGAGGAACACCGACAACAACACGAAAACGAAACACATTGTTTAGCTCGAGCCCTGGCATCTCTTGCTCGAGTCCAAACCAAACATGTTTCCTTCCCTCCTTCTTCCCCTGCAGTACATCCTCGCCCTCCCAGTCCCTCCACCTCCTGCACCCGTGGTCCCGTTGCTGTCCCCGGGTCCTGAGGCCGAGCTCACGCTGAGCTGCTTTGCTTCTCCGTCTTCCTCGAGCGTACGATTCAGGAGCGCTCACAAGAGTCAGAGTAGGCAAAGGTACCGATACTGCCTTCCGTCTCTTGTTGTCCCTCTTGTGGGCCTCCTCGGAGTCCCTCGTCGCCACCGCCGGATTCACCTGGAAGTCATGGTCAAACGGCACCCCCCAGGAGAGGTCCGGGGAGGAGCGGTATCAGTACCTCATGGCTTCCTCATCTACGACGGAACCCTGCTCTGATTAGGGGGCCACATGCGAATCCTACCCCTACCCCCCACGATTTCTGAGGGGGAGGGTGGGGTTTACTTCGCTCGGGAGCTCCCAGACGAAATGAACCCCACCCTCCCCCTCAGAAATCGTGGGGGGTAGGGGTAGGGTTCGCATCTGGCCCCCTACTGATGGAGCAGCTCTGCCGCAGAGTCTGGCGTGCTCCTGCAGCGTGCGCCGCGTCTGCCGGTCGTGCTCCTCGACGGGGGGCGCCCCGTTCTCGTCTGCCGAGGGTGGCCTGCGCCTGCCAGCGGGCGCAGGCGTCGGGGGCTTCTTGGCATCGCTCGGACGTGTGCTTTTTGTCCGGCGAGAACCACCGAGGACCATCCTGGACCATCGAGCGGCAAAAACACGCACGAAACCGACAAAAAATCACGGGGGGAATGGACGTCCGAGCGGCGGCCAGGTCTGCCACCCCCTCCGCGCTGCCCTCAGGGGGCCGCTGGCGGCGCTGCGGGTGGCGCAGGCGCTCCGAGGGGTCGGTGGGGCGAGAGTCGTGTTTTGGGCCGCGGGGGAGGGATGCAGGCGGAGGGAGGGGGGGATGGGGAGGGCAGGATGGGGGCGGGGAGGGAGGAGGAGAGCCGGGGGGGGGGGGGCATGAGCAGAGGAGAGGTGTGGAGGGGCGGGGGTTAGGGGGCAGGAGGGACGGGCAGGGGAAGGGATGGTGGAGGGGCAGGTGGGCAGGCAGGCATGACGATGAGAGGGGAGTCGAGTCGGACCGAGGAGCGACGAGCGGTCATGGTGTGATGCGCGCGCCTGCCCGCCAGCACAGCGATACTGTGATGATACCCTCGGCCCTCGCGCGGTAGGCGATCGGAGCACACCCGGATTCTTTCGATGAAAGGCAACGGAAGCATTATTCGGCGGCGAGCCCGGGGGAGACGTGAGAAGGGGCGTGCCCTCTGAAGCCCCCCGGTCTTGTAGAACATTTCTGGGCCCTCCCCGAAGACACACGAAACAAGCTTCTCAGGTGGCTGGAGGCCTTCCGAGAAGCCCCGCCGCCTTCTGAGAAGGCCTTCTCGTCCTCGCTACCCCCCTCGCTCGCCGCCGAATGTTGCAGTCGGGCACGCAGGCACGCGTCCGCATGCCACGGGGGCGGCGGGTCGAAGCTGCCTCCGAGGCGAGTCTCGCCACCGCTCCCTGGCCTCTGGGCGCGCCCGCGTGGCCAGCCTCTGGGCGAATGCCTGGCCGAGCTATGCGGGGCGTTCCAGAGAGGGCCTCGCCTTCGAGGACAGAGGGAGCCGCCACCTCCTCCGCAGCGGAGGGCGGCGGAGGGTCGGCGGAAAGGGCAGCGGAGAGGAAGTCTGCGGCGGCTCCGCCAGCGGAGGGTGGCGGGAGCTCGGCGGCGGCCGGCGAGAGCACAGGTCGGCCGCCCAGGAGATGACAACCCTTTGGGGCTCCGGGTTCCCGCACACCGCCACGTGTTCCCCCAGCCGGTGTGGCAACTCCCAGGGAAACATTCAGGAGGAAAGGAAACACACAGACACAATGAATCCTCGATTCCCCAGAAAAAGTATGGGAACATATGGGAAGCGGGGGGGAAGACAGAAACCCAGAAAATATAGGAACATATAGGGAGATCCTTTCATTTGTGTGTATTTATTTGTGTGTCCTGGGGCCCCTTCAAACATGTTTGGGGGAGGAGGATGGGGAGAGGGGCAGGCAAGGCTGGGTATGTGCTCGCGCCACAGCGAGCAGCCTGCTCGCCTGCCACCCAGGCCTGCCCGCTGCGCTGATGCTGCCGTCTTTGCCCGCCGGTGGGCGTCACAGCGGACCCTGGAGCCTCCGACGACGGAGGAGACTCCTCATCTTCTCTCTCTCTCTCTCTCTCTCTCCTGTAGTCCCTCACAGGCACAGGGGCGCGAAGATAGCCGCGCATCGTGTTTCGGAGTGCCGCGCACGACCGCGAAGACGAGGAGGAGGAGCAGGAGGAGGAGGAGCAGGAGGAGGAGGAGGAGGAGGAGGAGGAGGAGGGGCAGGAGCAGGAGGAGGAGGAGGTGGAGGAGGAGGAGGAGGAGGAGGAGGAGGAGGAGGAAAGGAGGAGGAGGAAAGGAGGAGGAGGAGGAGGAGGAGAGCGGAGGGGAGCGGAGAATGGAGTAGGAGGAGCAGAGAAGGAGGAGGAGGAGGCGGAGGAGGAGGAGGAGGAGGAGACCCCGCTCACAGGGGGGCCGCGCAAGACCGCGTAGAGACCGCTCCTTGGATGCGTCGCGCGAGCAGGAATCCCGATGTCCACAGGAGACCGAAGGTTCTCCGCAGGCTTCCTGCTTCCTCCTTCCTGTTCCTCCGCAGCCCCCCCCCAGAGGTCTCTACCCTTTACAATGGTTAAGTCGGGCATGTCCCCTGCATGAGGAATGTTCAAGAATGGTAAACCATCACTTGGTGACGATTACGGGACTCTTGTGATTATTATCGAATGTGGTTGATCATGTTTATGTGTGTCGTGTCCTAAACCCACCTGTTGGAGGACATGGCCGACCGACTATTTCGGGTCTGTGCTTGTTCAATCCCGGGGCGGGTCCCCTGACGGTTCATTCCAAAGAAAGTGAAGTCTCAGTCGTGTATTGCGGAAGCACCTCGAGGTTGTGCCTTCTTTTCCCCGCCCATGTTGGTCGTCCTTGCGCCGTCGTGTCGGTCGCGTCGTTGTTCGTCGGCGGCGGCGTCGTGCCGTGCAGCGTCTCTTTTCCAGCACTTCGACCCCGTCGGGAGGGCTGGGCCACTTCGGAAACGGCTGGCACGAGGGTTCAGAGCAATCCCAGTTGAGAAGGGGTGCCGTCATGTCCTTTGGAGGAGGAGGAAGAGGAGGAGGAGGAGGAGGAGGAGGAGGAGGGGGAGGGGGGGAGGGGGGACGGGGGAGGGAGGGGAGGTGTGGGAGGGGAGGTGAGGAGGAGGAGGAGGAGGAGGGGAGGAGGAGGAGGAGGGAGGAGGCGGAGGAGGAGGAGGAGGAGGAGGAGGAGGAGGAGAGGAGGAGGGAGGAGGAGGAGGAGGAGGAGGAGGAGGAGGAGGAGGAGGAGGAGGAGGAGGAGGAGGAGGAAAGAGAGGAAAGAGAGGAAAGAGAGGAGGAGAAGGAGGAGGATGAGGAGCAGGAGGAGGACCCTGGAATGCTGCTGTTTTACGGGGCATCCCCGTGGCGGCCTCAAGCCTTCGGCGAAGGGGGCCACGTTCTAGACCCACGTCCCCGTGGAGGTACTCTTTGCCTCTCCCCCGCGGCCCTGCCTCCCTGTCCCCAGTCCCTCGGCGCTCCGACTTGCTCGATGCGTGGGCACTGGCATCATATCTCAACCACTTGTAAGTCGGGCCTGTCCCTCTACATGATGAATATTCTCAAATCTTGAAACATAGTGGGGGCGTGTTTTTGAAACTATGTTTGAGCATTGTTTGTTGTTGTTTCACTATTTTTATGGCTCGTCCAAAATTCGCCTGGAGGAGGACATGCCCGACCTAAAACCACTTCCCGGAGCCAGGTGTGTCGTCCTGGGCTTGTCTTGACAGCCCCGAGGTACGAACTGGGCCTCCCCAGGCCCCAACACGGCGGCACACTGGCCGCGTCGATTTCGCCCAACCATCCTGTGGTGTTGGGCCCTCGGCTTGAATCCGCAGCGCCCCGCGTCCTCTCCTGCTCCCCTTCCCTCCTCCCCTCTCTCTCTCTCTCTCCCTCCCGCTGCTGCTCTCCGCAGGCCCACCCTGGCACACCCCTCACACGTTGCGTGACCCCTTAGGGAGCTCCACCGAAGGCACAGGGCAGGGTCCGCATGCCACCATCGCACCCATTTCGGCGCACCCCTCACACGTTTCGTGGCAAGGCCCAAGTGGGAGGGTCCGCATGCCACCACCGCACCCAGCCAGTTCAACTCACCCCTCACAAGATCCGTGGCCCAATAAGGAGCTCCACCAAAGACCCCCCCCCGCATGCCACCACCGCACACATTGCGGCACACCCCTCACACGCTTCGTGGCCCCGTAGGGAGTTCACTGACGGCCCCAGTGGGAGGATCCGAATGCCACGGCCACACCCTTCTCAGCACACCCCTCACATGCTTCGTGGCCTCATATGGAGCTGCTCCGGAGACCTCAGTGGGAAGGGCCCGCATGCCAGGACCGAACCCATTTGGGCACCCCTTTCACGCGACGTGTCCCCAATTTTGCACACCCTCACAAGTTTCTTGACTCGAGTTCACCGCATGCTCCAGTGGCAGCGCCCGCATGCGGACTCGGGTTCATTTCAGCACACCTCTCACTTGTTTCGTAGCCCCATCGGGAGCTCCACCGAAGGCCCTTATTGCAGCGCCCGCCTGACGGCCCTGGTCCAGGAGCTCCACCGAAGGCCTCAGTGGCAGCGGCCACATGGCTCGAGCTGCATCGATTTTGCGGTGCACTGCGCATGGTAAGAGGCCAGGTCGAACGTCCCTCGTATTTTTGATCGCCGCTCTCCTTCGTATCAGCGGCCTTGCGGTACTCGCAGCTGCACATGGCTGGGTCCTTCGCCAGGCGAACCTCGAGGCATCGGATGGCTGCGCCTGCGCGCCACGAAAAAGAAACACGGCACACACGAACACACACACACATACACACACACACACGCACACGCGCACACGCGCACACGCGCACACGCGCACACGCGCACACGCGCACACGCGCACACGCGCACACGCGCACACGCGCACACGCGCACACGCGCACACGCGCACACGCGCACACGCGCACACGCGCACACGCACACGCGCGCACACGCGCACACGCGCACACGCGCACACGCGCGCACACGCGCACACGCGCACACGCGCACACGCGCACACGCGCACACGCGCACACGCGCACACGCGCACACGCGCACACGCGCACACGCGCACACGCGCACACGCGCACACGCGCACACGCGCACACGCGCACACGCGCACACGCGCACACGCGCACACGCGCACACGCGCACACGCGCACACGCGCACGCGCGCACACGCGCACACGCGCACACGCGCACACGCGCACACGCGCACACGCGCGCACACGCACACGCACACGCACACACACCCTCACACACACCCTCACACACACGCACACACACACACACACACGCACACACACACACACTCACACACACACACACACACCCACCCACACCCACACCCACACCCACACCTACACCTACACCTACACCTACATCTACATCTACATCTACATCTACATCTACATCTACATCTACATCTACATCTACATATACATCTACATCTACATCTACATACTACATCTACATCTACATCTACATCTACACCCACACCACCACCCACACCCACACCACACCCACACCCACCACACCACCACACCCACACCCACACCCACACCCACACCACACCCACAACCCACACCCACACCCACACCCACAACCCACAACCCACAACCCACACCCCACACACCCACACCCCACACCCCACACCCACACCCACACCCACACCCCACACCCACACCCACACCCACACCCACACCCACACCCACACCCACACCCACACCCACACCCACACCCACACCCACACCCACACGCACACGCACACCCACACGCACACCCACACACACACACCCACACCCACACCCACACGCACACGCACACACACGCACCCACACACACATATCTGCCTCCGAAGGTTCGCGCGACTTTCCTGCATCGGTGCCGGACGTTCGTCCCTGGCGCGGGGAGCGCCAGGGACGGCGCTGGAGGCGCCGCCGGGGGGGGGGGGGGCCAAGCGCGTCTCGAAGAAAAAACATTGCGACGACACAGACATCCAGAGCTCCGCGCGGACTTCTTGGATCGGCGCCGCCCCTGGCGCTCTCCGCGCCAGGGAGGCCGACCCAAAAAGTTCGCGCGAACCTCCGAAAGTTTCTATTTGTGCCGTGTTTCTTCTTCGAGACGCGCAGGCGCAGCCATCCGATGCCTCGAGATTCGCCTGGCGAAGGACCCAGCCGCGAGTACCGCAAGGCCGGTGATGCGAAGGAGAGCGGCTATGAAAAATACGAGTGGCGTTCGATTTGGCCTCTTCACATATTGATACAGCTTGTTTCTGATTGACCCAAAGGGGGGTCCAGCGACCGCAGGGTGGTGCAATAGATTTGGTGCAATAGATCTGTGGGGTTGCAGTAGACTTGGGGTGTGCAATCATTCCAGTGCGCAAGTGTATTGCTGGCTTTCCCGAGTTGCAATACGCTGGTTGCAGTGCAAGGCAGTGCAGTTCTCTGGCGCACTACACTTGCAGGACACTTGCACCACATCTATTGCGCCACCCCCTCTCGGCTGGACCCCCTGCTGGGTCGCAAGGATCTCGCTCTCCTTCGGGCGCCGGATGCCCTCGCCGGCGCGTCCGCCTCCCGAGCTCGGGCGCCGGCCGCAGGTGGCGGCGCTGGGCGGCTCCGAGGTGCTGGGCCGAGCCCTGGCCGGCGGCACGCCGCTGGGGAAGGCGCGCCCCGCCGCCCCGACCCCCGGCGGCCGCCTCGGGGAGAGCTCCCGGACGTGCTCGCGCCGTGCGCAGGATCGACTGCACGAGCGATGGAAGGAGGAACGACGCCATAAAAACATACACTCTTGGCGCGCCGCGCGGATCTCTTGGATCCGCGCCGGGGCGCCCCCCGGCGGCGCCTCTGGCGCGCGGGGTCAGCGCGGATCCAAGAATCCCGCGCAGAGCGCCAACAGTTTATGCTTATGGCAATATTTCTTCTTCTTCTTCTTCTTCTTATTCTTCTTCTTCTTCCATGAGAGTGACCCTTCTCTAGGCCTCCTAGATGCGGTCGGAGCAGACGGGGTCAGAGGATTGCGCCGCCTCGCCGATGCATCGGCGATGCATCGGCGATGCGTCGGCGATGCGGCGCGATCCTCCGACCTCGTCTGCTCGGACGCCATCCAGGAGGCCTCCCCCTTCGCCAGAGTGACCTTTGGTGCGGCCCCATCGGGGTCCCCCGAACGCCGAACGCGACGCGATCGCAGCGTCCTGCGCGCTTGTGCTTTGGCCCCCCCGCGGCCCCCCAAAAAGGTGCGCACCAGCGGTCACTCTGTACCCAGGAGCCGCTCCTGCGTGCAGCCGAGCAAAAGCTCGGCGTGTGGCTTTTGCGCCCGGTTTTCAGGAGGAAAAGGAACACACAGACACAATGAATCTTCGATTCCCCAGAAAATATGGGAAAATATGGGGAGTGGGGGGGGAAGACAGAAACCCAGAACATATGGGAACATATGGGGAATCTTTTTATTTGTGTGCATTTGTGTGCCCTGGGGCCCCTTCAGGCTTCGGCCTCCGGGAGCCCTCGCCGAGCCCGGGGACCGCCGAAGGACGATTCGCGAGGAGGAGAAACACCGGCCCCGGGGAAGCGGCTTGGACTTCCGAGGGGCCCCTTGTGGAGCAAGTCGGGACCTCGGATGTGTTTGTCGGCGGCGGGCCCAGGGGGGAACGTGAGGAGGAGAAGGCCTTCTCAGAAGGCTCGGAAGTTCCCCGGCCTTCTGAGACATTCTCTCAGTCTTGACCCGCAGACACGGGAAGCCTCTCAGAAGGCGGTAGGGGTTTCGGAGAAGTCCCGCCGCCCTCCTGAGGTGGCCTTCTCCCTCTCATTCCCCGCCCTCGCCCTGTGTGAACTCAGAGATCTCTAGGGGCCTCTTGGGGGCCTCTTGAAGCAGTCATGGCCACTTGTTCTCTTGGAGATCGTGCCGTACGGAGTGCGAGGTCCCTCTTTTACCTTCTGCTTTCTGTGAGTGATTGTGCTTTCTCACCTTCTCCTGCTGCCTTAATCCGTCTGGAATCCTGGCTCGGCGCCTCGCTACATGTGCTCGCTGCTCTTGGAGGCCAGTTTGTGAGTCTTCGAGGCCCTCTCGGAGATCTCATGGAGCCTTCAGCCAGGCCCTCGGGACCTTCTCGGAGCCATCCTGGACTTCGAAGGCCTCCGGGGCCGTGTCGGAGTTCGCCTGAGCAGTATTGATCGACAGCACTTACAGTCATCCGATCGATGAACGCGAAGCAGTAACATTAAATCGGGCCTATCCCTCCACAGGAGGAACATTCAAAAATAGTAAAAATATGGTCTGGGGACGATTGTTTGCCTACTTTTTGTATCCTCGAGCATTTTTTGACTTCTTAGTTTCGTCCACAATCCTACTGTAGGAGGTCATGCCCGACCTACCAATAGAAGCGGCTTGCGGGCCTGTGTTTGGCCACCCTCCGTCCCCCATTTTTAGTCACGCACCAAAGGTCACGCTTGCCCAGGGCTACTCTTACGTGCAGCCGAGCTGGAGCCACCCTGAGGCCAACTCGAAGGCCCATCGCAAGCGATGCGGCGAGAAGGCAGGCATCATGGAGGCATGCAGGTGTTCAGAATGCTGCTGATGATGATGATGATGAGGAGGAGGAGGAGGAGTAGGAGGAGGGAGGAGGAGGAGGAGGAGGAGGGGGAGGAGTAGGAGGAGGAGGAGGAGGAGGAGGAGGAGAGGAGGAGAAGCGAGGAGCGAGGAGCGAGGAGCGAGGAGCGAGGAGCGAGGAGCGAGGAGCGAGGAGCGAGGAGCGAGGAGCGAGGAGGAGGAGGAGGAGGAGCGAGGAGGAGGAGGAGGAGCGAGGAGGAGGTGGAGGGATGAGGAGGAGGAGGAGGAGGAGGGGAGGAGCGAGGAGCGAGGAGGAGGAGGAGGAGGAGGAGGAGGAGGAGGAGGGAGGAGGAGGAGGAGGAGGAGGAGGAGGAGGAGGAGGAGGAGGAGGAGGAGGAGGAGGAGGAGGAGGAGGAGGAGGAGGTGGCTCCTCGGGGGGGCCTCCGATCGGGACCCTCCGTCGCCACTCGGAGAGCCTCCTCCGTGGTCTGCGGGGTGCCTGCCGCCTGCCATGGCGGGGCGACGCTCTCCGCCACCTTTCGGAGGCCGTGTGCGGCCCCGCGAGGTTCGGTGCGCCCCGGCGCCTCGCGGGAGGGGAACAAACACACCCAGACACAATTCATCGTCGATCCCCACGAATATATTGGAACATATAGGAGCATATGGGAACATATGTGAAGATATAGGAAAATATGGGAAAATATAGGAAACTATGGTCGTCGATCCCCAAGAAAATATGGGGAAATATGGGAATTGGGGGGCAAGAGAAAAGCCCAGATTACACAGGAAAATGTAGGGAATCTTCTTATTTGTGTGTGTATGTATTCGTGTGTCCCAGGGCCCTTCCGTCTCGTTCCGGGCATCCCTGTAGTCAGGACCCCTGCGGTGGCACCCGGAGCACAATGTCGCGTGCCTGCCGCCGCCGCGTCGCGCAACGAGGGCTCCGGCCAGGGGATCTCCTGTCTTGCCACCCGCATCTGGCGCGGTCACGCTCGAAGCGAGGCGGTCTGCGTTTGTCCTCACCCTCCAGACAATGCCGATCTTTGAAAAGCATCAGCGTCAGATTCGAGTTACTCGCGCTGCTCAACACTGCTTTGTACTCCTCTACTGGAACCCACTCTGAACCTCTGGCCCCGATTTGTCGTCGTCCTGTGCTTGCCTGAGACACGAAGGGTCTGAGTTATGCAGGGGTAGGTCAAAGTTGTCACTTTGCTCTCTCGGCGCACATGACGCGCCCACATCAGCGCGCACAGACTCACATGTCAACCAGCTCGAAATCAATTGGAAGCGCGTTGGTACCTATTATTCGAAGGGTTTAAAGAAACATGTCCGCACCACTTGGGCGCTAGGGCGAATTTGGGAAATGATCACACCCCCCCCCCGCCCCTGGCCTTAGCATTGAACGTGAACACGCTGAGTTCAGGGGCGCGCCATGGGGAACATGTCTTCGACTCGTTGTCCCGCCCTTTAGTACCCCCCCACCCCTCTTTCGTCCGCTCCGGTTTCGATGCGTGGGCCGTTGCTCAAGAGCGGTCTGATCATTTCCCCTGATGTTTCACTTGTTGTTGCTACTCTTCTTTTGCCCTGTAGCGAGGAACGTTGGCGTGTGCGTGTGTGTGTGTGTGTGTGTGTGTCTCAGTCAGCATCTGGGAGGCTAGCGGCCACCATGAGACAGGATGGGTTGATGTGGCATGGCCCCCAGGTCAGCAGAGAAGGAACACACCATGGATCTGACATCGATTGCACACGGATTTTGCCAATGTATTCATAGCAGCGCCAGGATTTAGGCACGCCAGACGAGGAGGAGTTCGCCAGCCAAGCCATGGTGCCCCCCGCATTCTTGCGCCATGGGTTAGTGCACTGTAGTTGATTAATGCGAAAGTGTCCATAAGTGAACGGCTATAGTACTTGATGTGGCACTTGTGCGCGAGTGCAAGGCGGCAGCCCTTACTTGTTTTGCTTACCATTGAATGCCAATTGATATTTTTCTGTGCAGCGGTGCAGAAGAGTGGGCGATACCTGGTTCTTTCTCCCTCTCTCTCACACGCTTGTCTCTCTGTCTCTATCTCTCTATATGTGTATGTGTGTTTTGATACCCCCTATCGGTATCTAGCGTTTCGTCATATGGCGCTCGAGGAGAGCAATGACGAGACCTCAGACCCTCCCTCTCAAAACTTGCATCAGGGCGGCACTGCCCTTTAGGAGACGAAGGACAAAGAAGCGGCGGAGGGGCATGAGGAGGAGTTGAATGAGAGGGTTGGGGTGATGGGGCAGGATGAGGGTTGGAGATGAGGGTCGTGTGAGTGAGAGGAAGGGCAGGATGAGGAGGGATAAAGCTCAGGGTGGGGTTCGCGGAGTGAGCGTTGTGGAGGCCCCCCCCTCTCGGTCCCCGTTCTTCACCCCTTTCCTCCCACTCCTCCCACTCCCACTCCTCTTCCTCCTTCTCCTCCACCTCCTCATCCTCCTCCTCCTCATCCTGGGGGGGGGGGGGGCTCTTCGTCTGTCTCGTTTCGGAGGGGGCACCCTGACCTCCTCCCTCTTCGAGGTGTGCGCTGCGCGACGCTCACCTGCAGGGTCTTACAGTCCAGCCCGATTGGTAGGTCGACCCAACCATCCAGTTTACCTTCGTATCCCGTGTCTCGCGACCCATGCTTTCTGCACTCCTGTGGCAACGTGGCCCTCCGATGGGTCCCGTGTTCTCTCGAGTGTCCTCTCCGATCAACCCCGACTGTGTTGCCTCGTGGTAGACTTCAGTGACAAAAGTTTCGCTTGTGTCTGCCAGGTCTATGCCGCGCACACGACTGGAGGTCAGATGAGGCGGCTTGCGAAGCAATGTTTGGGCAGGCCGTCTGCTCGAAGTGCAGGTTGGACGAGATTGGGCAAAGGTCTTTACCCTGGGTATACCAGTGGGTCGGGGTACCCACCGATCTCGAGACGATCTGCCCCCTTGTGAGGAGGTCCGTGGCTGCGGATGTCGACAGCCCCTCCCCACCCGTGCAAACCTGACTTTTCTAGCTGATGCTCTGGGGGGGGGTCTGTGCTCAGGGGAGGCTGCAGCACGGCTCGACGATGTGCTTTCAACCACACCTGCAGGGGTGGGCCCTTTCCGTTGTTCTGTGCACTTCAGCCTTGGCGTCGGCTTCAGCTGTCGGTGCGCTGTGCCGTGAAGCGCCGCGCCCTCGGGCCAACCAACTCACCCGAGTCAGATATTTTTTCTCCGGTCGCACGGGTGACCCCCCCCCCTCTTCTTCGGGAGCGGCAAAGAGGGGGGTGACGACTAGGGGGGGGTTGGATCTCATGGCGGGGGCCATGAGATCTCTCCTCAGATGTCATGGTGCCTCTTCCTATCTCAATGCGTCCCTGCCCCCCCCCCCCCCATGGGCCGCGCACGTGCCGCCGGTCATGATGTGCACCCCCCCCTCTTGGGACACCCCCCTTTGGCCGCTCCCGACTCCCCCCCCCTACCTGCAAGGAGGAAAGACTGGTCTACTCTGTAAGAACGGTTTTTTGAAGGCAGATCTGCCTTCAAAAAAATTGTCTACTCTGTAAGAAACGGTTTTTTGAAGGCAGATCTGCCTTCAAAAAACCGTTCTTACAGAGTAGACCAGTCTTTCCTCCCCGCCCCCTCCAGGCTCCCCCCCGGGCCCGCCTTGCCCAGGCCCCCCCCCCCCCGCGGCGCAAGCTCCGCGCCTCCCCCGCTCCCCCCCCCCCCGACCCCCTCGCGCGCCCCCGCGTGGGGCGGGCCTCCCTCCCGGCCTCCCGCCGCGCGGGGGGGTCCGTCCGCCGAGGGCCGCGGCGGAGCCCCGCGTTTGTCGCGCCGCCGCCCCCTCGCGGGGGCTACCCCCCGCTCCGGGGGCCCCGGTCCTGTCGGGCCGCGGGGCTGCGGCTGCCCGAGGGCGACCTCTCGGCTTGTGCGTCTCCCCTCGGCGAGGACCATCGCCGCAGGCTTAGAGGTTGACACCAACACCAAGATCGGCGGTGTGCCTCCACCGAGGGAGGGCGATCCCGATCTCGGTGCTGGTGGTAATATCCTGGCTTCGAGGTGAACGAAATACTACCACCAACACCGAAATCTAAGGTCATCTTCCCCATGCGGAGGCGAACGCCATGTGCTGGTGTTGGTGCCAATTTCCAGGCTTCCCACATCGGCCTTCACGCGCGAAATGGGTACTGAAAGAATGGGTACAATGATGCCCAACAGCAGTTCCTGTTCATTTTGAACCGGACTCGCTGTCCGCGCCGTCGCGGCCTGTGTCCATTGGAGACAGAAGGCCGCCTGCCCAACAGCGGCCGCCGTTGGTTTGGGGCAACATTTGATGTTGGGCATTGTACCAATGTTTTCCGTACCCATTTCGGGCGTCGAACATCGGGGAGCTTTTTTGTGGGGCCGTCTTGCGCACAAGACTGCGCGCACGAAGCCGAAACGTGCACGGGCAGTGGACGTCCGAGCGACGGCGAGCGGGGGAAGAGAGGCCCCGCCGGGGGTCCAGGGCCCGCGTGCCCCTGCGTCACGAGGAGCAGGATTCCGAGGAGGACAGGTGCCCCATCCGCCGCCCTCCCCTCGTCTTCCCCTCTGTGGATCCGCCTCGCAATCCTGGTCGGAACGCTCCCCGGGAGAGGTCCAGGGAGCAGCGGTCTGGGCACCTTTCGGTTCACCCGGAGAGGCCGATCCCGGGGGAGGGCCCTCCGGGGTCCAGGCCCGCGCGTCTCGGCGTCCCGAGGCAGACTCAGGTCTCGTTATCTTCTGGCCTGCCTCCCGCTGCGCGACAGAGGAGTCCCGGGGGGGGGATCTGGGGGAGAAGGGATTCTGGGCCTTTTTTTGAGTATCGTTGCTGCACCGATCCCTGATTTTCATCCCCATCCCGATCCCCGCCATCCCACCACCCCACTCGGGCATGTGTGCCCCTCGAAGCCCGAGGGGAACAGCGTACGTCCCCGTCTAGGGGGAGCAGATCGGCCAGAGGGGCCCAGGCCACGACAGATGGGGATAGGGAGGAGTTCAGCGATGCGGATCGTCGTCATCGTCGGCCTCCCGGGGCTCCTCCTGGGCCCCTGCATGGGGCCGCGGGGAGGCGCCTTGGAGTGAGCTGGCTCGGAGAAGCCCCAGGGCGGGTCCAGGCTCCGCTCCCCTCGCTGGCCGCGTGGCTCGTGGCGATGCGAAGAGGGAGGTGCACTGCCGAAGAGTGGTCATCAGGAGGCAGAGGACGATATCAATGAGGAGGTCAAGCAGGAGGAATATGATGGGAATCAGGAAGAGGAGGAGAAGGAGGAGGGGGAGGGTACTAATAATAGTCAGAAGCCTAACAACAATAGTAATGACGAATTAATGCGAATACGAAAATTATGAGGACGAAAACTAAATCTATGACGAACGAGCAGACGACGAGTACTAAGCATGAGAGTATGAAGCAGACGAAGCATGATAATCCGAATGGTACGAAATAAACTGATACTACGAAGAAGACGACGAATATTGTTCATCAGAAGACGGACCATAACACGACTCATCATGATACTACGAATGCTAATCATCATAGTAACCACTATCACGTAATGATACAACGACGAACCATCATGTTACTACGAATAATAAGCATACTACTAAGAATACGGATCATACGAATCATGCAAAATGATACGAATACGACTGCTAACACACATAACAACATGATAGTAATACTAATACGAATGATAAGAATCAGCAGCAATCCGACTCTTATTATTAATCATAATAATACTAAGAATAATAATACTACTACTACTACTACTACTACTACTAGTACTAGTACTACTACTACTACTACTACTACTACTACTACTACTACTACTACTACTACTACTACTACTACTAGTACTACTACTACTAGTACTACTACTACTACGACTACTACTACTACTACTACTACTACTATTACTACTACTACTACTACTACTAATAATAATAATAAGAATAAGAATAAGAATACTAATAATAACAATCATACTGCGAATAATAGTGCTAAGAGGAAGACATAACACTACTCACACTAATAATAAGAAGAGGACGAGGATGAGGAGGATGAAGAGGAGGAGGAGCAGACGCGACGCTCATGGACCGACGTGGGGGTAACGTGATGAAACAAAGGAGGAGGAGGAGGAGCAGGAGGAAGAGGAGGAGGAGATGGGGAAGCGGCAAAGTCGCTTACCAGCTGCCCGCTGGGCTCTAATTCAACAGTACGCTCTGCTGTTTCTTCCTTGCATCGGCGTGAGCACGCAGCCCGCTTACCAGTCCGTCCCAGCCGGCTCTAACTCGCACCAATATTGGATTCAACAGTTTTTGAAACGACTGGACGGGCGATCTAGCCATGCACCACTTGTCGCGTTGGCAAACGCGTGCGTCTAGCAATGCTCGTCGCGGGGTTACAGGAACGAACGCGGCCAGCAGTATTAGGAACAGGAGGAATGAGGAGGAGGAGCAGGAGGAGGAGAAGGAGGAGTTTGAAAGGCCCAGACTGTCCTGACCGCCCGATGCCATCAAGTCTTGAGTCCTCGCGCCAGAGCCCGCGCCCGGTGCCTCCGTCGGATGCGGCCTGGCGTTGGAGGCGGTCACGGCCAGTGCCCGTGGCGGACGTCCCTGCATCAGGCATCAGATCGGCATCGCCCAATAAAGCTAAATATTGTGTGTGTGTGTGTGTGCGTCTGCCCCGCAGGGGCGGCGTGCGCTCCCAGCAACCGTACAGCAGAAGCTGGGCGGCGGTCGCTTTCTGGCCACACTGGTCGGGCAAGGATCTGTTCAAATTCGCTTGTGCTGCATGTTCGGGTCGGACGTGTGTATCCCAAAGGCGCACATCGTGCATAGTTCCAGTCTGTCTTGCTGCATCCCATCACCAGATGCTGTATCTGCTCCCTGCCATGCTGCTTCTTCGTGTGTGCTTGTGCCAAGGTTCAGCCAGCGGGAGGATGAGGGGGGAGGAGAGAGGGGGGGGGAGACTGAGGCGACGGAGGAGGGGAGGAGGAGGAGGAGGAGGAGGAGGAAGAGCAGCAGCCGCACCCAGGCGTGGGCCATCCGGTTCGCAGACGCGCCGGAGGCATCGGGATTCTTTTTCTCTTGATCCATCTGGCCAGCCTATCCTGTGTACTTTCTGCCTCGTTATTCCTTCTCTGGAGAGTGTTTGTTTATTGCCAGGCGATAGCGGGCGTTACCGCAAGGGGGGTGGGGGAGGGGGGCGGGGGGCCAGTAACGTCACGTTTCGCGCCGGCTCCGTCTGGGAATGTCTAGGACAAACCGAAGCCAATTCGGAGGTCAGCACGAATCGCGAAGTTACCTGGGGGTTGGGGGAGGGGAGCGGCTGGGGCCAGTAACGTCCGCTATCGCGAAACATTGAAAAACGCTTTCTTGTCAGAGGGCGTGAGTGGAGACAGCGGTAAGCTTAAGAGGTTTTGAATGACGCGGGGGACCCCCACCCCGCTAAGCTCTCGGCTTGCAATTACACTCGTCCCTCCCCCCTTGCCCTTCTCCTCATCATCCTCATCACCATCAGGGATTCTCATCGTCCCCACGATAATCAGCGGTGGTCGCCGCTGGGGAATAATTGTTTTCCGAGCACTGTTGGAGTCACACTCCGTCCATAACCCGCGGCAGAACTCATCGGTTTCCCATTCGGGGGGGGTACTGAGGAGTCATCTTGCGCTCAGACGGCCCTCGGGGCCCCCCTCGTCGCCACGGCTGGCCGCAGCCTGGGAAGTCGGAGTGCGCTTGGAGCCCGGGGGAGGGGTCCGGGGACCAGCGTGGCGCTGCCGCTGTCTCGGCGCCTGCCCGCCGATGCCGGGAGCCCGCCCTGCACACAGAGCTCTACCAGCCTGGAACCTATCCCTATCCCTATGCTGGGCATTCACCACTCACCAAACCACCCCAACCCAACCCGAAGGCCTCAATTTGACCTCCATTTCCAGTTGGGGGGGGGGGTCGGGGAGCATCGAGAAAACACGTATGGAACCCGTACCCCCCCAACCCGAAATTCGGGTCTTCGGGTTGGGTTGGGGTGGTCTGGTAGGTAGTCAGGCATCGCCTCCTCACGATGCCAGTCTCAGGGATTCCCTCATTTTTTGAGGGCGGAGCCCTGAGATTGTCATCGGTGGGCAGGTGCTGCGCGTGGTGGGCAGGTGCTGCGCGCGTGCCACTCGAGGCGTTGTTCCAGGAGGGGCCTCGTCCTCGAGCTTCGGAGGAGCTGCCATCTCCTCCTCCTGCTCCTCCTCCCTGTCCTCCTCCTCCTCCTGTCCTCCTCCTCCCTCCTCCTCCTCCTCCTCCTCCTTCCTCCTCCTCCCTCCTCCTCCTCCTCCTCCTCCCCCCCCTCCTCCTCCTCCTCCTCTCTCCTCCCTCCTCGTTTCGAAGGAGCAATGGCGTTTCGAAGGAGCTGCCTCTTCTTCTCGGCGGGAGGCCGGCGAAAGGCGGGGGAAGCCAGACGAGGCCGCCTCCGCCAGCATGCGGCCCATCGGACGGCCAGCATGCAGCCAAAGATGCGCCCTCAAGAGATGGCAATACTCTGGGCCTCCCAGATGGGGTCTCAGAGTCCCGAATCATCAGGGGTAACTGGGGTCAGGGCTAACTCGGGTTCCTTTCTCGGGAGTCCGAACCCGACTTACCCCGGACCCGAGTTACCCCGGATATTTCGGGCGTCCAGAGCCCCGAATCATCAGGGGTAACTCGGGTCAGGGCTAACTCGGGTTCCTTTTTCGGGAATCCAAACCCGAGTTACCCCGGACCCGAGTTACCCCGGATAACTCGGGCACCCAAACACTCTAGGCCTCCCAGATGGGGTCGGAGTGGATGGGGTCGGAGGACCGCGTCGCATCGGCGATGCATCGCCGATGCGGCTCGATGCCGAGCCCGCCGATGCACCGCCCGCGTCGACGATGCACCGCCGACGTCGGCGATGCATCGCCGATGCCGATGCATCGGCGATGCGGCGCGATCCTCCGACCCCATCTACTCCGACACCATCTGGGGGGCCTCCAAAGATGCGCCCCTCAGAGACGGCACCATCTTTCAGGATTTCCGGAGCCCGCCACGCGTGCAGAGTCTCTCGGGCTCTGCCGCTCGAGCGGGCTCCTTTGGGCGGATTCCTGGCCTGGGCCCCAGCGCGGAGAGCTGGAGCACAGCTTTGATGGATTCTGCAGGTACCTGCTGGCCCGTTCTCTTGGCCAGACTTCTGGCGCTCCGCGCGGGTTTCTCGGATCCGCGCCTGGGCCCACACGGCGGCGGCTCCGCGCGCCAGGGAGGGGGGTCAAGCGCGGATCCAAGAGATCCGCGCGGAGCGCCCAAAGCTCATGTTCATGCCGTTGTGTTCGTCCTCTATTCCGCTCCATGCATTTTGGCGTCCCGACCCCTTCTGCTGTCACTGCTCGCCGTGCAGGAGATGTGTCCTATGGGAGGCGGCTTCCAGTGCCTTGTCCAGGACCCAGGGCCGTCAAATAAAAGAACAGTACGAGTAGTTGCGACCTGGGAAATGCCCCAGGATCCATGACTCGTTTCCCTCAGAACCCCCTTCTCTCTTGGGGAGGAGTCAGGGCCCTCTGGCTCTCCTTGTCCTCGTCCTCCTCCCCTGGTCCCCCCAGCAGGTTGCGTTGAGTAGATTCCATGCGGGGTTACAGTCGCACCGTGCAAATGTTTTTGAACAATACTGGAGGACACCGACGCTTCAAAACCGTAATTCTGTTGCGGACCCGACCCGCCGTGACGCGCCGTGGCGTGGTGTCGATGCTTTCAGATCGTGTCCTCGGTGGGTCGCCCGTACCGTGT